AGAGGCCAATATGGCCTCACTATGGGATAGTGTTGAGGTTAGTTAATGTCAGTAACCTTGGTAGAAGGACAGCTTTAGGCTGTGATATCTCACCGTGAAAAGCCTGTTAGGGCCTGTCTATCTGTGAACATGCAAAACAGTGTGGGTGCATGTGTCACAAGACAGTCTCTATGAACCACTGTCCAAAAGCAGCATCACCCATGGCCATGACTCAAACCAAACCCTCTCTCTCTCTCCGTGTCCACACTAAATCCATCCCACGGTCTGCCCCCTTGTATTTTTCCCCCTACACTTTTGAAAAAAAATGCTATCTAGAACCCTTTACACAGAGGGCTCTACATGGAACCCAAAATAATTCTACATGGAACCAAAAAGGGTTCTCCTATGGGGACAGCTGAAGAACCCTTTTGGAACCCTTTTTTCTAAGAGTGTAGATAACAGGGCCGTGAATATAGAGCTGCTCACACAGCGGGTAGCTAGACACACAGATCTGGACAGAATTCCAACTGGGAATCAAATCCCTGGCATGGAACATGGAATGTGTGAGCTGTCTCAGAGCTGTCCCCCGCCCTCCTCCCCCACATTCCCTCCTGCTGTTCTCCTCAGGTGTTCATAACATCACAGGAGACTGCCATGTTAAAAGGGGGCTTTGTGTCCAGAGAAAAGCCACGTTTCACACTGATGTTTGACCAGAGAGGGAGGGTGGAGGAAAGTCAAGATGGAGGATTGGAGAATTGGAAGCCACATATGGTCCTAAAAGCACAGTTTCCATAACACACACATAACATGTTCACTCACACAAGCAAATGGTATTTCACAATCTGAGAAATTGTAATCTCATACATCATATGATTAAGGGCTATCAAGGATTTTTAACCAGGAAACAAAATGTGTAAATTATATGAGTATATGATCATCCATGTCTGTGTGTGTGAGTGTGTGTGTGTCTGTCGATCTAGGTCAGGTTTGTGTTTTTATGCTCCTGTGAACGCCAAAGTCAAACTGATTCACCATACGGCTGGAGGCATGTGGAGGGGATGTCACACACATTCAATCACACACACACACACACACACACACAGCAGGCCCAGCCCAGAGGAACAGGTGCAGATTATCTCATCAGAAGCACAGCCAAGGTTTTTCAGCGACTGGGTCGGAAGCAGTGTGGGAACCACAGGGAGGGAATGGTCTAATTTAAGATGTTGGGCAGCATTAATACAAACACCCACACTGAACAACATGGTGGGCCCAATCACTGAAGATTGAAGCAACAAAATAATGACAAATATGTACTTCATGTGAAAAAAAGATGATGAATCAATCAATTAATTAATCAATGATGTGAAATGACATGACATAATAGATTAGATGATTTGTGGCAGGGACAAAACACAGGAAAGCCGGCAGACCAAATTCAAAAAAATCTTTATCCAACTAATCTGATCCATGTTATTAGAATAGAAAATTCATTTGGACGGTTTAGGGATTTCCGCTTTGCTGTGTGTGGACGTGTGTGTTTGTGTGATTGCACAAACACGCATACACCAAACATTAGAGAGGGCCTGACATTAAACCAGTCAGATTCCTCGCCTACCAATCTGGTGAACAGATCAGTCAGGTACAGGGAACATGACAACCTGGTTCAAAACAGCTACAGGGAACATGACAACCTGGTTCAAAACAGCCCATGATTATGAGACTATCAAATCTAAGAATGTGTGTGCCTGCGTCATATGTGTGTCGTTCATTGTACAGGGGCATAGATAAGCACTGCAGGTCTCTCCCTCTCTCACTCACACAAACACAGATACGCAAACACACACACACAGACACACAGACACACACGCAAACACAACCAAACACACACTGTGCTGTCAGAGGAAAGCAGTGATTTGAGAGCAAAGTGGTTAGTTTGCCTTAGTGTGTATCTTCGCTGCAAACCCAGCACACGAGAAATGAGTACAGAAAACACGAGAACACTAGTGACAGTCACAGCAAAATAACATACAGAGGATATTCAGCTGAAAGATGGCAACAGTCTCACAATATCCATGGCTCCTACTGTACATGGTGTCTACTGAGAGTTGCCACGCACTGAGAGGGTCTGAATCAGCTGCTAGTCATCTTTATTTGGTTGTGATAAAATGATAGTCCTGTCTTTTATATTCTAAAAAGTACTGTTGGTGTGTGTGTTTGTGTCTGTGTTTGTGTCTGTGTTTGTGTGTGTGTGTGTCTGTGTGTGTGTGTGTGTGTGTGTGTGTGTGTGTGTGTGTGTGCGTGTGTGTGTGTGTGTGTGTGTGTGTGTGTGCTATAAGTGGGTCAGGGAAGGTGTGTATAGGGATTAGGTAATGTTAATCTCTTTAACAGCTCCCCTGCAGTGCAGTCAGCGGGGGTATGCAGTATGCAGTCAGGGAAATATGGATTCTGTCTCTCTCACACACATTTACACACAGAGAAATGGGGCCTTAATGACTCCAGGTTTAGGGAATGTTGGTTGTCCTACTTTTTTAATTGATCATGCTCTACAGCGTCTAATATCCTCCTTTCAGCCCCTCATATCATCATTATCATCATCAACATCTTCCTCATCATCATCACCATCATCATCATCACAATCATCATCATAATCTTCCTCATCATCATAATCATCTTCCTCATGATCATCTTCCTCATCATAATCTTCCTCATCACCATATTCATCATCATAATAATAAATAATAAATAAATAAATTGGTCATCATCATCATAATCTTCCTCATCTTCCTCATCATCATAATCATCTTCATCATGATCATCTTCCTCATCATAATCTTCCTCATCACCATCATCATCATCATCATCATAATCATCATCCTCATGATCATCTTCCTCATCATCATCATGATCATCTTCCTCATCCTCCTCCTCGTCCTCCTCCTCCTCCTCATCTTCCTCATGATCGTCTTCCTCATCATCATCTTCTTCATCTTCCTCATCATCATCACCTTAATAGTAACTAGGGCTGTATTTAATTATTAGGGGTCGTGCAGAAGCAGTATTATTATCTAAGCCAACAGTGAGATGTTGACACGTAACGCTAAGCAGAAAGGCCATGCTTTTCTAATTAATTCACTGATTAATTACACTAATTAAAAACATTTCCTGACAGCCCTGATATCTCATTTAACTAATGGACAATTTTAGATTTTAGATTTCACAGTTGTTTTATTTCACTGAGAGCTCTAATAAGAACACGTCAACAGCACATCCAAGCGTTGTTGACAAATTGAGCTTTTTCATTTTAAAACAATTCCACCATTATATTTACATTTGACATTTTAGTAATATAGCAGAAGCTCTTATCCAAAGCAACTTACAGTTAGTGAGTGCATACATTTTCATACTGGCCCCCAGTGGGAAACAAACCCACAACCCTGGCATTGCAAGCGCCATGCTCTACCAACTGAGCTACAGGGGATCTGTATATCTGACCCAGGAAATATTATCGCTGACACATACAGTACCCCATCTAGCAGACGCTTAGTACATACAGTACCACATCTAGCAGACGCTTAGTACATACAGTACCCCATCTAGCAGACGCTTAGTACATACTGGTGGTCCTCTGTAGCTCAGTTGGTAGAGCACGGTGCTTGTAACGGCAGGGTAGTGGGTTCCATCCCCGGGACCACCCATACACAGAAATGTATGCACGCATGACTGTAAGTCGCTTTGGATAAAAGCGTCTGCTAAATGGCATATTATTATTATTACTGTATGCCATCTAGCAGACACTTAGTATATACTGTATGCCATCTAGCAGACGCTTTCATTCAAAGCGACTTACAGTCATGTGTGCATACTTTTTACCTACGGGTGGTCCCAGGAAGCAAACCCACTATCCTGGCGTTGCATGCGCCATGCTCTACCTGCCAACTGAGCTACAGAGGACCAGATGTAATTGCTAAACTTAAAAATCCAGAGAATTACATTCTTGTGGTGTCTATCCATATCAATCCATATAATTTGGACACTGTGGGGCTTGTCCATAACATATCAAAACATTATGTGTGTGTGTGTGGGTGTGTGTGCGTGTGTGTGTGTGCGTGATTGCGTGTGTGCGCGTGTGTGTGTGTGCGCGTGTATGTGTGCGGTGCGGTGCGTGTGAATGTGATAACCCCACCGAGCCGACGTCTGGCTGTTGTAGTGAAGCATCTGCTGAAATAAATTCACTAATTATAAGCTTGTTATATAAAAAGCTTATGAGCAGCAGGAGAAAGTCTGTGAACCCTGTTACAAGATGAAGGGATGAGAGATGGATGGAGGAGGGATGAAATGTGGGAGGGAGAGGAAAGAAGGGAGGGAGGGAGGATTGGTCATCAGCTTGTGTGCTTAATAACGTCCATCATTAAAAATGATTTCCTCATTTAGCTCAATCTGTCTCTTTCTCTCTACCTCTCTATCTCCTGCCTGCCTGCCTACGCTTCCTCCGAGCAAGAGAGGCAATCTTTTTACAATCCTTTTACATGCAAACACATCTTACACACGCATATCGCAAAAGCTTAACATCCACACTGTGTGTGTATGCGTTTGTAGGTTTGCTTGTTTGTATATGTGTGTGTGTGTGTGTTGTGACTGAGGGCATGTTCGGCAAGCCTTTCTGCCTGCGACTCAAGCGTAATGTCATCAGAGACAGACTAACAAGCATGTATGACTGCGTGTATTAGTATGTATGTGTATGTGTGCGTGTGTGTATGTGTGCGTGTGTTTGTGAGCACACAGTGTTTTAAGAGGCACAGCTGTCCACTGCGAGATGACACACCGTCACACTCACCACAATACGCTTGACTAGAGAGAGAGAGAGAGAGAGAGAGAGAGAGAGAGAGAGAGAGAGAGAGAGAGAGAGAGAGAGAGAGAGAGAGAGAGAGAGAAAGAGAAAGAGAGAAAGAGAGAGAGAGAGAGAGAGAGAGAGAGAGAGAGAGAGAGAGTCAGTCCAGTGCTGTTATTCCCAGGCTTGCTAGCTGGCAGTGAAGGCTACTGCTCTGTTCTGTTCTGATCTCTCTGCTCTGATGGGGTTTCCCACCCACAGAGTCAGGGCTTGGGGTCCTGAGGGCACTGAGTGGTTCTGTCGCTGGGCATTGCTCTACCATACCAACAACCTACAACCTACCAACGTAGCTGTGTCTGCTAATGCACGCTAACCGATGGCTAAGGATCGAACCTCAACGAGAAGGCTAACTGGACATCTCATGGATTGCTAACAGATTACTTATTGGAACCTAACCAGAACTGAACCAGAAGCTATACGGACTTCTAGTCAGGCTCTAACTGGACTGCTAACGGATCAGTAAGCAGCTTTCAGCCCCCTTCACTACTCTCCGCTCAACCAGGAACGGCTGACCTGGCAAGGGGACGAGAGGTAGATATGACAGGTAGGACAACCAGTGAAACAGGTAGCAGATAGATTGAACACTGGTGGGTCAGCAGGGCTACTGTTGGAGGAAATCTGTCAACTCAATAACTCAACTGTGAGATTCTGTCTAATAACTATGTAGTAGCAATATTATCATCACATTGTTATTATGTGTGTGTGTGTCCGTGCGTGTGTGTGTGCATGTTTGTGCATGTGTGTGCGCATGCGTTTGTGCCTGTCTGCATGTGCGTGTGCATGTTGGGTAAGTCACAGTGGCGTAAAGTAACTAAGTAAAAATACGTTGCAGTAGTACTTAAGTAGTTTTTTGTACTGTACTTTACTATTTATATTTTTGACAACTTTTGCTTTTATTTCACTACATTACAAAATAAAATATGTACTTTTTACTCCCATACATTTTCCCTGACACCCAAAAGTACTTGTTACATTTCAAATGCTCAGGCAGGACAGCAATATGTTCCAATTCACGAACCTATAAATATAATGTGTTGTCAGCGGACTCACTAAACACAAATATTGCGTTTGTAAATTATGTCTGAGTGTTGGAGTGTGCCCTAAATAAATAAAAAAACAAGAAAATCGTGCCATCTGGTTTGCTTAATATAAGGAATTTGATGTATAACATACTTTTTACTTTTACTCAAGTATGAAAATTCAGTACTTTTCCCACCACTGTACTTAAGTGCATTTAAAACCAGATACTTTTAGAATTTTACTCAAGTAGTATTTTACTGGGTGATTTTCACTTTTACTTGAGTCATTTTCTATTAAGGTATCTTTACTTTCACTCAAGTATGACAATTAAGTACTTTGTCCACCACTGGTAAGTGCTGTGGTATATGACATTCGTGTGAGTCATTTGTGCTTTACCTGAGGCGTTGGTTGGTACCCTCCTCCAAATTCACAAATAATGACCCTCTCTGACAAGCTCTCTACACAGCTGGAGAGAGAGAACAGGACATCACACTCATACTTCCCCATTCACCTTGTCTGATACTATTGCAACTAAACTCTGGGGACCCCTGGAGACTCTCAACAAACACCCAGACAAAATATTCAAACTTTTATGTAAAACCTCTGGTCTTCACCACTGCAATGCATAAATTACAGGCTAGCAATATCAGGAGCCATGTAGTGGTTGGATGGTAACAGTGTTTGCTGTGACTTGTGTGCTCAGTCTATATGGCCTTCATAGTTCAAGTGATTGAACTGGCTGATTACAGTTTAATAAGAGTCTGGTGTCTATGAGGAGTGTTCCCAGGCTGGTCTCAGAGTATCACATCTACCCACCGTATCCCCTCACAGATCCTCACAATATAAATACCACTATGTCCCAGACCAAATAGACACAGGAAGTTATTTCAATGAGGCACACAGAGGATCCGACACCCAATATCTGTTGTGCGTGTGTGTGTGTGTGTGTGTGTGTGTGTGTGTGTGTGTGTGTGTGTGTCAGACCTTGGGAAGAAGATATGTCTCTCCTCTTTGAACTAGAGAAACCTTCAGATGAGTTTACTATTTACGGTTGTTTCACAATTGACTATAAAGTGTGACTGTAAAGTTGTTTGTGTGAATAGGTGTGTATCTGATCTCTCTCCCTCTCTCTCTCTCTCTCTCGCTCTCTCTCTCTCTCTCTTTCTTTCTCTCTCTCTCTCTCTCTCTCTCTCTCTCTCTCTCTCTCTCTCTCTCTCTCTCTCTCTCTCCACAGCTGTAGTAGCAGTATGTATCCTCCTCTCCCTCCTCCTCCCTCCATCCCTCTCCTGTCCTAAGGGGTGTGTCTGTGACGGCCGGACAAAAGTCGTTGACTGCCGAGGGCGGGGCTTATATGACATCCCTCGCCATCTCCAACCAGACACTCTAGAACTCCATCTCCAAGACAACCGTATCCGAGGGCTGGGTTCCATGGCATTCCGAGACACGCCCCTGCTGCGTGTTCTGGACCTATCCAATAACTCCATCACGTCTGTGTCTCCCTCTACACTACTCGGTCTGAGAGGGCTACAACGTCTCAGTCTGGCCAATAACGCCCTGAGAGAACTGGACAGAAGACTGCTAGGGCCCATACGATCTCTATCACACCTAGACCTGTCACACAACAGGTACACATACGATCTCTATCACACCTAGGCCTGTCACACAACAGATACCCATACAATCTCTATCAAACCTAGACCTGTCACACAACAGATACCCATACAATCTCTATCAAACCTAGACCTGTCACACAACAGATACCCATACAATCTCTATCAAACCTAGACCTGTCACACAACAGATACCCATACAATCTCTATCACACCTAGACCTGTCACATAACAGATATACTATCACACCTAGACCTGTGCAATAACAGCTTCCACAGCAAGACTGACTTTTCTGTTATGAGATGCTAAATAACTTACCCAATCACTCTCCCACCGCCACCAGTTGTATAATGGACCTGTTCTGTCTCTGTTCTGTGCCCAGTCTGACGGGTCTGCCTGGTGCTATGGGGGAGAGCCTGAGGAACCTGTCCCAGCTAGGGCTAGCCCACAACAGGCTGCAGCGGCTGGACAAGTCCCTACTGGAGAACCTGGAGGGCGTGGGTCAGCTAAGCCTGAGAGGGAACCCCTGGAGGTGTGACTGCCAGGTCATAGGCCTCAAACTGTGGTTGGAGACCTTCCTCTTCAGAGGTGAGGATGGATGGATGGGGGCCAGTTGAGTCATGTGGATGGGATTCAGTTAGTAGGTGAACTAGCTACAACCAATGGCATGAATATAGTTACAGAGTTAAAGAGTTTTACCAGCTATCTTCAAAGCTGGCAACGCACGTCACCATCACTCACTGCTTACAAAATATGCTGTTGACCTCTTCTGAGAATGAGGACACACATACAGTACACACACACACACTATGAGCCAAAACACCCATTATACAAAAATGTAATACTCCTCCCCCAGAGTGCCACGGCCCATTGCGGATTAAGCTAAAACTGTCGTCCAATTAGCAAAGCGAGTGTGTGTGCACCCATGTGAATGTGTGTGTGGTTTATCATGTTATTTTTATCAGATAAGTAATGTGTGGGTAATGTAATGTCACAGCTGATCCCTGTGGTGCCTCAGTCTGGACCCAGCTACAGGAATGTGGCTGAATACAGATGTAGGATCTTAATTTGATCACCCTGTTGCAGGAGAACTTTCCTGCAATGAAGGAAATGTAAAATGCAATGAGGTTTAAAAGGCTTCTGAAGTTTGTAATTTCCACTTTGAAATTTCAGACTTGATTTTCCTTTATGAAAAATGTATCAACCCATACAAAAATGTATATTAATTATAATCCACATAATAATTCAAATTTCCAGCTGCGACAGGATTATTTTCCTACTGTAGCAAACTGGCTCAAATCAAGATCCACATCAGTATAAACATGTTAACCACTGACAGAGAGCGAAAGAGTGGAGGGGAGGAGGAGAGAGGGGAACTTGTGTCTGTGTCATTTCTCGTCATGTCATGCGTAGTGTACTGTGAATGTGTGAGTGTAGTGTCAACGTGTGTTAACGTGTCAGTCTGCTGAGCTAATGGACAGATGCATTATCAATAGAGGAATAAAAAGATAAGCTTGGTTATGAATTCATACATTCAGTTCAGAATGCATCATCACCATCTCTCTCAGATGAAGATTAATTCAGATCTGGCCTAATGAATGAATGTAATCAGAGGAAAAAACTGCTGATCATCCCTGACAGAAACCTAAACACACAAACACAACACACACACACACATCAGAGGACATGTGTGGCTAAGGACAAACACTGTCACGCACTCGACCTACATACAACTCCAGGATCTGAACGGTTCATTTCCCTTTGTAAAGGCCTCCCAATCTGAAAGATTAATATAATGAGCACATCTAAATACATCTATATTGATGGAGCACTACTGAAAATAGGACATGTTTGGACTATTAGAGAGAAAGAGAGAGAGAGGAAGGGAGGGAGGGATGGAGGAAGAGAGAGAAAAAGAGAGAAAGAGGGAGAAAGAGAGATAGAGAGAGAGAGAGAGAGAGAGGGAGAGAGAGAGAGAGAGAGGGGAGGGGGGGGGGGGGAGCTGAGGGAGGGTGAGAGAGACAGAAGGTTATGTCCTGACTATTAACTTGTCTACCATGCTCTTTAGTGCCTCATATTTGAATGTTCAGTCATTAACAGAATCAGGACACACTCATTAACTCTGGCCATTTAATCTAAAAAAGTAATTAAGATCCTCTGGTAATTACCATCTCAGAGCTCAGGTAGCCTTATTCAAGTCAGTGCTAGCTACTGTGATTAAAGGTAATTATGACAGGAAGTTAGACTGAAGTCAGACATGGCATGTGTCACAGAGGGAGATTGCGTGGCTATTCTCAACAGGTGACAACACATGGACATAGAGTCAGTCATTACACTTTTACAGCCTGTCCTACTGACTTGTATTCAGACCATAGCATGGAACACACCTGCAGAAGTGGTATTGTCTATAGCAGTAGGTTTTAGGCATGAAGCGAACATTCAGGGTTTTTACTGATATAATAACCTCACTCCCTCTCTCCACCCTCTCACACTCTCTCCATTTCCAGGTGGAGTGGTGGATGAGGTATCCTGCTCCCAACCAGAGGAGATGAAGGAGAAAGATCTCCAGAAGGTTCCCTACCAGCTCTTCCATTCCTGCATGACCACCAGCTACAACTACCTATTCTCCAACATACACCACCTGGAGTCTGAGAGGTCAACCAGGGGTCACACCCACGGCAACGGCAACCCGCACGGCCCCCTGGGAATGGGGGAGGGGTATGGAGGAGGAGGGAGTGGTCTCCCGGAGTGTGAGCCCAAGCAGAGACCTCGCCCGGTGAACCTGCGTCACGCCATCGCCACGGTGATCGTGACTGGCGTGGTGTGTGGCATCGTGTTGATGATGATGCTGGCTGCAGCGGTGTACGGCTGTGCCTACGCTGCCCTTATGGCCAAGTACCAGCGGGAGCTGAAGAAGAGTGAGGAGATGAGTAAGGCCGATCACGGCAGCGCAGACGAGAAGGAACCACTAGAGAACGCTATCGCCTAAGAGATGGGATCGAGTGAACTGTGAACTTTATCCCACAAACACTTTGAACCTGGAACGTTGAACCCTGTACCTGAAACTACTGTCGTAGGTGTGTGTGTGTGTGTGTGTGTGTGTGTGTGTGTGCCCTGACTTAAAACTCTAATCTTCAGCTTAAACTTTAACCTCTTGTCCCATGCACTGAACTGGGACCTGACCCAAAACCTTTGTCACCCTACCCATCAATCGTACCTGGTCTACACCTCAAACAGAGGACAGGACAGTACATATCAAGCACATATCAACCACTGCTGGAAAAAGCCATTGCCTGTGACAGGTTCTGTTGGTATCAATAGGTCACCTCATAGTGAAAGTTCTAATGTAATTTCCCAACCCAACATACCCCCATGTTGTCCCATCCAAAACTACTAAATGCAAATAAGGGAACTACAGACCATATCTACTGAGAGCTGAAATCAGTACAAAGTTCACTTCAGAAAGGAAAGAAAGAAAGGAAAAAGATAGAAAGGTCCTAATTTATCTCTCTGGATGATAACCAGTGAAGAGTGCTGTGGTGTGGAGCGGAGACTTGGTACATCAGTTGCTGTGAATATAAACTGGGCAAGACACACATCTCTAGATCTCTGTGTCTGGGTTTTCCCAAATATATCAAAACATATCAATTCCATTTCCTCTGAGGGTATCAAAAATGTATTAAAAATGTGTTCATAAATGTTTGTTTGTTGATAAGTGTAAAATGTTATCTTCTGAATTAGTGGTAGTTTGGATTTTGTTTGGTTTTCTTTGTAAACTATTGTTCATATCTTTTGATACTGTCTAATTTTGAAGTACAGATTCTTAGTAGGCAGCTATAATGTGTGTGCTTTAGAAAATTGTATTTAACCTTTATTTAACCAGGAAAATACCCTTTTAGGTAAGAAACCTCTTTTGGGAGGGTGACCTTCCAAGAGGTTTGTGTGTGTGTGCGTGTGTGTGTGTGTGCGTGTGTGTGTGTGTGTGTGTGTGTGTGTGTGTGCGTGTGTGTGTCTGTGTGTGTGTATGTGTGTGTGTGTGTGCGTGCTGAAGGAGAAAATATGCATATTTTCCCTAATGTATGGAAGATGGTTGATTCTACAAGCAATAATGAAACAAAACTAAAAGAAAATGAACAACATGGGTTGAGTCTTCTCATTCACACACACACACACACAGACACAAAGACACACACACAGCGTTGAGGACAACAAAATGGGACAGTGAGCTGCATCATGAATTACACTGCACAGTGATGGAGACAGAGGGGGGATGTGTGTGGAAATGGGAATGTGTTTGAATGTGTGTACATGTGTATGTGTGTGTGCGATCACGCTTGCTTGTGTTGCCCGTGTGTGACAGAGACAGAGAGAAACAGTCAAAGTCACCTCTAACCTCTCAAAAAAACCAGCCTTAAGAGGCTATTCAGTCCATATGACCCTGTGTGTATGTCACACACACAGCCACGTGAGTGAAGTGTTCTCGAAGCTGCCTGAAGGATCCAGCTAGACATACAGCAAAGACCCTCCAACCAGAGACAGGGCACCCACACACACACACACACACACACATACACACACACACACACACACACACACAAACACACACACACAGGCTATGAGTCAGAGATGTCTGCAGTGCCCAGGATGTGTGAAGTCACTGGGCTGTCGTGTTAAGTTAACGTATTAGCGTATTCATGAAGCTCAAGCCAACTGGAGCAGAGAGGAAAACTGGCCCTAACCGGCCTATACTGAATTACCATTAGGCTACATCTCCAGTCCAAACATCATTACATCCCCACTTCAATCTGAGCAGCACAATTATCATTACTGCTCATCAGTGGCTACCTAACATAGAGGCTGTCCTCACCGCTGTTACACTGAGTACTCATAATCTCCCTTGTCACAGTGTGTTATGACTGTCTTACTACTGTGTTACTGCTATGGGTTTGTAGATTATATATTTCTGTTGAGTTACATTTTTTTGTTGATGAGCCGATCACTGCTATTGGTCATACTATTTCCACTGAGAAGACAGTTCTACTGTATATAGAATGGTGTGTGTGTGTGTGTGTGTGTGTGTGTGTGTGTGTGTGTGTGTGTGTGTGTGTGTGTGTGTGTATGGTGGCACTGCACAGACTCTCCATCCCGCTCCTTCTGCTCCAGCACACTGTCGTTTCCCCCAGGCCAAAGCTACCCACAATGCACCACTCGCATGTCATCGCATTCAGGCACCGTGAAATAATCTTCTCTCCTTCTGCCCCCTTTCCTTCCTTCCTTCCCTCTCTCTCTCTCTCTCTCTCTCTCTCTCTCTCTCTCTCTCTCTCTCTCTCTCTCTCTCTCTCTCTCTCAGTATCTTTCTCTCATTCTATCTTTTTGTATAGTCTCCTGTCTTAACTGCTTTGTCTCTCTCCATCTCTATTTTCCCCTCCTCCTCTCTCTATCATCCACAGCAGTGTTTCCCAACCCTGGTCCTCCAGTTCCCCCAACAGTACACATTTTTATTGTAACCTTGGACATACACACCTGATTCAACTTGTCAACTAATCATCAAGGCCTCAATGAGCTGAATGAGGTGTGTTTGTCCAGGGTTACAATAAAAATGTGTACTGTTGGGGGAACTGGAGGACCAGGGTTAGGAAACACTGATCTACAGTATCTCTCTACTGTCCTCCTCCTCTGTCTATCATCTACAGTATCTCTTAACTGTCCTCCTCCTCCTCCTCCTCCTCCTCTCTCTATCATCTACAGTATCTCTCTACTGTCCTCCTCCTCCCTCTATCATCTACAGTATCTCTCTACTGTCCTCCTCCTCCTCCTCCCTCTATCATCTACAGTATATCTCTACTGTCCTCCTCCTCCTCCTCCCTCTATCATCTACAGTATCTCTCTACTGTCCTCCTCCTCCTCCTCTCTCTATCATCTACAGTATCTCTCTACTGTCCTCCTCCTCCTCCTCCCTCTATCATCTACAGTATCTCTCTACTGTCCTCCTCCTCCCTCTTTTCTCTCTACCCCTTTCTCGTCTTACTCCTTTCTTCTCTTGCCTTGAGGTCCTTGCAACCCTCTTTAAATCACCATCGCTCTTTCTGTTTCAGAATATCAGTCTAATCTGGACAAGAATTGTGTCCTGCTATTGTGTCAAAACCCAGAGGTGAGCTCCATACCGCCCCCTTGTGTCCGATGCAGGGGGTTGACACTGTATGTGTACAACGCACAGATAGATAGGACATGTTGCACTATACCTGAACTCTCCCTCAAATACAGTGGAGCTGATCTAGGGCTCGCTAGATCATCCCAGCGCTGAGAAGATTGTCTAAATTGCTGCACATGTCGTGATAGAATAAGATCACCCATCAACCCAGGACACAATGACACTAAATACATTAGCCATGTTTAGATAGTAGTTACGGAGGAGTTGAATATTCCTAAGGACAGCACATATTGAGCATTACAGAAGAGGGTGTATGTGTGTGTGTGTGCCCATCCTTCACTTCTATATCATTACCTAAAGTAGGGCTTTCTACAACACCTGTGTATTCCTCCTGAGGGAGAGGTGGGTGATGATTTCATGGAATAGAAATATCCTCCAGTAGACATAATTTATCCTCATTTAATGTGCAAAAGTGAAGCACACATTATGTTTAAATAGAGTAGTAGAGTTGTACTGAAGGAAGGGTTGGAGGAGGTGGATGTCAGACCTACCACAGCTCAGCTTGTTCCTTCCCTCTCGCGTCCCCTAACACACACACACACATTCCCCTAACACACACACACACATTCCCCTAACACAAACACACACATTCCCCTAACACACACACACATTCCCCTAACACAAACACACACACACACATTCCCCTAACACAAACACACGCATTCCCCTAACACACACACACACATTCCCCTAACACAAACACACGCATTCCCCTAACACACACACACACATTCCCCTAACACACACACACACATTCCCCTAACACACACACACACATTCCCCTAACACAAACACACACATTCCCCTAACACACACACACACATTCCCCTAACACAAACACACGCATTCCCCTAACACAAACACACACATTCCCCTAACACAAACACACACATTCCCCTAACACAAACACACGCATTCCCCTAACACAAACACACACATTCCCCTAACACAAACACACACACACACATTCTCCTAACACAAACACAAACACACACGCAAAGAACACAAAAGCCCCTCTCACAGGCCACAGCCCTTACAAACACTCCCTGGAGAAACACACACACACACACACCAGGGTTTACGTTAGCTGGTAATCTCTCGTGGACAGATGAAACGGCTAGAATCTGTCAAGGCTCACGTAGAATTATGTGATTACAGCAGCAGTTCCTGGTTTTGGGTTTTCATCGTTGATTATTTGGACGAATCAGGATTGGGCGAAGGTGGTGCTTAAACTGGTGGGGAGGTTTTCAAGCCTGTGTGCGGATGATAAACAGTTTCCACAAGATCCCACAGCCACAACGTAAAAATTGTCTGTATCGTAAAAATTCATGAAAACAAAATAGAGATTTTTGCCAATAATAAACACGGGTGAAATTAGCAGAAAGGGGGGTTTCGGCGAGAGTTTCCACTTAAGAGGGAGGAGACTTCGCTTCCTTCCTTTGCACAAAGGTAATCACAGTTGTTAACAGCATTCCCCCCAGAAGTAAAACAGGAAGTGACAAACTTTTATGAGAGAATTTAACTTCTGGGTAATAGAGATTTGTTTGCTGGTAATTGCAGGCTTTTTATTTATTGATGGAAATACAAGTCGATGTAAATAAATTTGACCTTCATGCTTATCAGTCTATAGGTTAATTTGCACAACGTAGTGGAACTAAATTGGTGCGTGTGTATTTTCATTAGCCGTCATGCATCTTATTTATCACACGAGCACAGCATACAGAGCCCATTTTGAGCGGAATATCCCCTCAGCACTAGAGCTGCTACTGCAGCTCTTCAGCTCATTGCTGCTGGAGTGAAACGTGCTTTTATATAAGCCCAGTCATTG